GTCTATGAGTCTATGAGTCTATAAGTGAGAGGGTGAAGGAATAAGCCCCCTAACATATACAGGAAGGTTGTTACCCTTCCCTTTATATTTATGACACCTTCCAACCCTGATATTCTATGATTCTATGAAGATGTGTGGGGTTATCAGTGGGAGTAGAGCAAAAATCCTTTTCCTATCTGACTCCAAGACTAAGAGCAGATTCTTGAGAATTGTTTAAATGCTGTCTTGTTCCTCCTGGGACAAGATCCCTGAAGTTCATTCTCTGTAACAAACTACCAATAACACTATGATGGTTCAACCCTTAAGCAATATTCTGTAGTGTTTAACATTGAGTGTTGAGGTGTGGACATAAGAGCCCAAGTGATTTAGGTATCCAATCTCAGTGACTGTCAACAAACAAGACAGGGATTTAGGCTCAGATTTTCAAAGCATCTGAAAGAATTAGACATCCAAATAGCAAATCTTGTAATTTCCTATACACTCCTTCAAAGAACCTGGCCACAAGAGGGCAGCAGAGGAAAAAGCATGGGAAATGGCCAGCCATCCTTGGACATCACCAATACAGAGATACATAGATAAAGGAATGAGAAAAGAGCAACTAGACTGTATACGGTGGCAGGAAAAAGTAGGAGGTGGGCATTTTTTTTTCAGACAAATAGTTTATTTTCCAAAAAAACTGTTTTGGTCGATCCTACAGTATTTGCAGATTTGACATCTATACGCAAAATATTTTCATCCAGAGGGGAAAAAAGGCTAAACTGACAAGCCCAGCACATGCAACCCTAGTACCCCCTGAATTCCTTTAATCTAAATTTTAGGGCACTTGGATGTGGGAGAAGCCCGTTTAGGTCCCACTTCTGCCTGCTGTGGAGCAGAGATTTGAAGTTCGGCCTCCCATCTCTTAGGAAAGTGCTTTAATCGCTGAGCTATAGGGTATTTTTATGCAGACTTTCTCAGGTTTTCTAGTAGAAGCTGTTCACTTTGTATGAATCAGAAACACATTAGCAGTAGCAGCTATCCATGGCTTTAATGCAGCTGGTGATGTGTAGAATGGCTTTGCATGGCAAATGGCCCCTTGCAAATCTTCTGCCCTCAACAAGAGTCAGTATGGGAAGATTTACATTTCTTAAATCCCACAAAATTTCATCCTCCAATCTTATTCGTGGTCAGATTTCTGCTCTACTTCCTTCAACCTCAGCTCTATAGACCTTCAGTAAGGAATACCTTCTTCTAAATGTTGGACAGGACCCCACCATTGTTGTCACCTTCTTCTCAATTAGTGCAAGACTACAGCTTGCTGGAATGTTCTAAGTATCTCCTTGTTTGTGTCAAAATCAAACCAACACGTTAAGAATACTCCCTAGCTTTTGACACTAAAAACTGTTTTATTTCCTCTCCTTGGCTGTTTTTAATGGATATGTTTCTTCTCACATAACAGAGTTGACATGATTACAGCACTGAACATTCATCTCCTAGTTGGCCATCACATACAGTCCCCAGCTAAAACCTCTCCAATGCATCATCAGTGATCTACAACCCATCCTGGACAATGATCCCTCACTTTCACAGGCCTTGGGTGTCAGGCCAGCCCTTGCCCACAGACAACCCACCAACCTGAAGCATATTCTCACCAGTAACTACACACCGCACCATAGTAACTTTAACTCAGAAACCAATCCATGCAATAAACCTCGATGCCAACTCTGCCCACATATCTACAGCAGCGACACCTTCACAGGACCTAACCAGATCAGCCACACCATCACCGGTTCATTCACCTGCACGTCCACCAATGTAATATACGCCATCATATGCCAGCAATGCCCCTCTGCTATGTACATCGGCCAAACTGGACAGTCTCTACGTAAAAGGATAAATCAACACAAATCAGATATTAGGAATGGCAATATACAAAAAACTGTAGGAGAACACTTCAATCTCCCTGGACACACAATAGCAGATTTAAAGATAGCCATCCTGCAGCAAAAAAACTTCAGGACAAGACTTCAAAGAGAAACTGCTGAGTTTCAGTTCATCTGCAAATTTGACACCATCAGCTCAGGATTAAATAAAGACTGTGAATGGCTATCCAACTACAAAAGCAGTTTCTCCTCCCTTGGTGTTCACACCTCAACTGCTAGAAGAGGGCCTCATCCTCCCTGATTGAACTAACCTCATTATCTCTAGCCTGACTTACTCTTGCTTGCATATTTATACCTGCTTTTGGAAATTTCCACTACATGCATCTGATGAAGTGGGTATTCACCCACAAAAGCTCATGCTCCAATATGTCTGTTAATCTTTAAGGTGCCACAGGACTCTTTGCTGCTTTTACATGTCCTAGTTGTCACACAGACAAAGAGCTTAAATAGATGAAGATGTGGGAGAAACCCGCCTTTCTTTCTTTCTTTCTTTCTTTCTTTCTTTCTTATAATACAGTAAGGCAGGATCTGCTCTAGGAATTGTTTTGGGAAAGTTCTCTGGCCTGTCTTTTACAGGAGATCAGACTAGACAATCACAAATCAATGAACCTAGCTTGTTATGCTTGGGAGTGTACAAACAAACGAGATGATAAAGACTTTCCCATCACACAGGAAAATCCATATTTTGACATTTGTTTTAACCCCAAAATGGGCCAAAAAGTTGAAATATCAATTTTGTCATGAGATGAAAAGTCCTAAAATGTTTGGATGCAGAAATGTCTAAACATTTCCTTTGGGCATTTTTCCATGAAACAAAAATTTCCTTTTGAAGTGTCCATTTCAAATGCAAATTTTTATTTTGAATGAATATTTTGACTTAAAATGACATTGAGGTGAGCCATTCTATTGTCAATTAAACTGAAAATGCCAATTCCAAATGAAAAAAAATCATTTCATTTTGACATTTTGAAATACAAAAATCCATTTCCTTTTGAGAGGTCAAATTGAAAAGAAATCTTTTGTTTCCTACACAAAATCAAATATTTTTCTTCTAAATTTTCCCTCAGAAAATTTCTATTACAATGTAACCAAACTTTCAGATTGGAAAAAAATGAGAAAACTAAGAAACATAGAAGTACTCATGATTCCTGTCCTATGGGATTTACAGTCCAACAGAGTGAGCAAGGTCACAGAATACCTATCAAAAACAGGAAACAGGAGTAGCTAAGTCATGCTATTTTTTAATTCAATGAGCTGGCTACAAAAGTTTTGAATTTTGATGAGAAAGAGAGGCATGATTTTCAGTGAAATATTCCTATTTTTCAACCCTCTATATTCCTTGTATTGTAAAGAAGGTGAAAGAAAACATTACCCTAGTGAAAATGAAAGTAGAGGGTGGTGTGTCTTTGTTAGCTGGGACAGGGAGAGCATTCTATCAGCACTAAGATGGGCAAGGAGAGCATTTTATCAGCACTAGGATGGCATGGGAAAAGATATGGGACTTCCAGTGGGCACACAAATGGTATTGTGGTTAAAGGCAGAAGACAGGCTTCAATGTCTTGCCCTCCACAGATGTTCTGGCTGTCTTTGGGCATGTCTCTGTGGCTAAGTTTTCTCATCCAATAGGAGCTTGGAACCTAAATCCCTTGGAATCAGTTGAAAATAACCTGTTGGTTGACTATTTGTTTACTCCCGGCCATATCCCTTTAAGTCAAACATTGGCAACAGGTGATTCTGAATCATATCTTTGTTCACTGAGGCAAGATCCTCTGCTTCCATAGGTCTGTGTAGCTCTGTTTATTTCAGTGGAGTTACACTGATTTCCACCAGCTGGGGTTTTGCATCTAAGGGTGTATTTCACCTGGGTGCAGAGTGCCAGCACTACTTCCCACTATGTTTAGGGCTTGAGTGGAAACTCACTGATAAACAAGTCTTTCCAACTCAATGGTGAGTGAAATTTGAAGGGAACAAAATCACCTTAGTATATGAACACAGTGGGTTGGACCCTCAATTCATGTAAATCCACCTAGCTCCATTGACTTAATGGCACTACATCAGTTTACACCAAGGGATGGATTCACAAAGGGACATAGGTTTTCTAATGACTAATTTTTAGCTGCCAGGAAAATCACTGGGTTTCCAAAGCCTGGTTTTGGTGCTCAGGCTCCCTTCACAATAACTGGGGAGAGGTAAGTATCTATGAATGGGATTAAATAAAGCCAGCTTTATAGGTAGTTCCCTAGCCAATGAGAGCTGCTGAGGAGAGGAGTGTGCTCTAAACCCTGCTACTATCAAAGAATTCAGTTCCTCTATCCCCTGCAGGGAGGCATCTCCTACTGCTTGGGATTCTCATCTGGGAACCCTCTAACTGCACCTAAGGAAATTTTTGCAAGAAGCTGGGATGAGGCAGGGTGGGAGAAGAAGAAGAACTTAGGAGGAGGAGATCCCTCATGACTTTTATCCCAGTGATTAGTGAGCTCCTGTGGAGTGTGGGTTACCCCCAGTTCAAGTGCCTGATCAGGGGAACAGATTTAAACAGGCATCTCCCAATTCCCATGTGGGGGGATATGGGATATTTCAATATGTGTCACACAATGACTCCTGTTCAAGCCCAAGTCCCTTTGTGTATTTTTCCCTAGTAGGACATCAGAACCTTTGGCTCTACTAATTATTATTATTACTATTATTAGTGTACAATTCTAGAGAGTTTCATAGGGATCAGTCCAATATGATATTACTGTTATACAAGAAGTAGAAGAATTACACAAAGCAAGAGAAAAACATGTTCTTTTAATACAATTGCCCCGATCCCTGGTTAGTTTAAATTGGCCATAGCTCCACTGAAGTCAGTGGGCCAGACAGAGAGACAGGGAAAGAAAAGGTATGACTCTGGAGACTGGTACTGAGAGAACTCATCCAGAATCGAGTCCCCTTTGCTCCATTGACTCTCGTACCCAGTGGAGATATGGTCTGATGAGCTCAAGGAGACATGCTGATTTAAACCAGCTGCACTTTTGGCCCAAAGTTTTAGTCAAATAGCTGAGTTGAGAACATCCCAAACAGTAGTTATCCACAGTTCTACAGTTTTATGGTCTCTGACTTAAAAAAAAAATACATCACCACTACTTGAGAAATTTGAATTTCCCCAATATTTTCACTACAGCTGTTTTCACCTCTGTTTTTCACGCTGTAGATGATGGGATTTAACATAGGGGTCAAGATGCTGTACTGGATGGAGACCATTTCCTCCAGAAACACAGAGGAGACTGAGCTGGGCTTTATGTACTGGAAAAAAGCTGTGAGGTACAACAAGCCAACCACAATGAGGTGGGAGCTGCAGGTGGAGAAGGCTTTAAGCTTGCCCTCCACAGAGCGAATCCTCAATATGGTGGAAATGATGTGAATGTAGGAGATGAGGATGAGGAGGAAGGAGCTTGCTCCAAATACCACAACAGAAGTAAGAAGCACCACTTGATTAGTGAGGGTCTCAGTGCAGGACAGTTGTAATAGAGGAGGGAGCTCACAGCTGAAATGGTTGATTTGATTGGGCCCACAGAAACGCAACTTGAGGGCAAAAACAGTGTTAACCAGGGCATTTAAGAAGCCCATTACCGATGCACCACTCACCAGCTGAACACAGATGCCTCTGTTCATTGTCTCAATGTAATGCAATGGGTCACAGATGGCAGCATAGCGGTCATAAGCCATTGCTGAGAGAATGAAAACTTCTGTACCAGCTGAGAGGAGGATGAAGAACATCTGGGCAATACAGCCATTGACAGAAATAGTTTTGTGATCTGACAGGAAATTTATCAGCATTTTAGGCACCGTGACTGAGGAATAACAGATATCAACAAAGGATAGATGGAATAGGAAGAAATACATGGGGGTGTGAAGGTGAGAATCAGCTCTTATCACCAACATGATCATCATGTTCGCAATCAGAGTGATTAGGTAAATAACTAAAAACACCAGGAAGAAGAAAATCTGCATATATGGCTCATTGGAAACTCTCAGGAGAATAAATTCAGTCACCGTGGTTTGATTTTCCATTGACACTTATTCAGGAAGATTGTGACCTGGAAGAACAGAAAAAAAATGAATGAAATTAACATAGATCATAAAAGTAAATTGAAATGGCATGTGGAGATCATCTGCTCAGCAGGATGAATGTAAAGAGAGCCCTATTCCATCATGTAATTTTTAATAGACAAAATTTAAAGAAAGAGACAGAGAGAAGTAGTTTTGAAATTGTTTTTTTACATAGACAAAATCGGCTAGATACACAAAAGGATTTGGGCACTTAATTACCAGTTTGAGCACCTAAATCCCGGAGTCAGCATCCACTGGTATTCACAAAATCCCTTCTCAGCAGGGACTATGGAACAGTCTGATGCGAGCCTCGCTTAGTCTCTCCTGTTGAAGTTGTTCCACTGTGGTTAAATAATTTCAGAGGCATTGAAACAGCGGAACTGGATCCCCGGTGTCCTGCATGAGTGCTCTACTCAGCAGGCTGTAAAGTCATTCACTTTGTCACTTTCTATTTGTGGCCTAATATCTCTTTAATCTGTCCCACTAATGTCCACAGAACTGCATCTGATTTATATCAGCTGAGGATTTGGCCCCTTGACTTCAAAGGCGCTATGGCCAATTTTATACAAGCTAGGAATCTGGCTGCATTGATTCCAGTGGTGCTATAGCTGATTGACACCAACTGGGGATCTAACCAATTCTATAAGTAGTTATGCTTTGTCTATTACATTCTGTAGCCTTTTTTTTTAGATTGGATTGGATCGATCCCTATTAAAATATTTAGGATTTCAATATTATCACTACTACTAATAATAAATCTACTACTACTACTACTAAACCCCTGTGGCCTAGAAATACTGGTTGGGCACCCACCGCGATATAGCCTGCCAACCTAACCCAATATGGAGAATCCAGGCAAATTGATAATTAGTATACATGCCATTAAGGGGACCTCAGAAGATAGAAGATCTTAGTTGATAGATAGCCTTCTCCCCCGACAGAGTGTGATATGTGGAGGTGGGTTCCCCCAGGTCAATATAATGCAGCTCTCAAAACAATCCAGGAAAACTGGAGAACATTTTCAACAAGAGAATGAAAAAGAACCAAGAAGAGATCTGAAGTTGGCTTTTGGCAAAACTGGAAGAAAGAGGCTGAAGGAAACAAATGCTCCAGCACTGGAAGGAGAGAAATGACAACATGTAGAAAGAAATAACTAGGCATAGATTCAATGGACGACTCCAAATTTTATTCCACAGAGGAGAATTTACACAAATAGAGATTGAAAGCCTGAAAAGGAAATTTAGTCATGCTGAACCACATGCAAACATATTGGTAGAAGCAATGATACAGGATAAATAACAGACATAAATAGAAGACATATCTAGGACAAATATGAGAGAAAGAGCACCTGAAAAAGTATGGGAAATAAAAATGATTTTTGATAGAGATCATGCGGAGTGTAAGAGACATTGAGCACCAACCAGCACAAACTATGAAATTTGTAGACCAGGAAAGACTGGATGATATATTGCAAGCACTTAATAAAGTACTCAAAGAAGCTGTGGAGTTAAACCAGCAAGTATTAGCCAGTTGAATTGTACAATTTATGATACACTCACAGTAGAATCTCACTGGTTTAACATCAAACCAGCTGAGGATGTGAACCACTGGAAAACTATCTATATTCAATAACCTCCATCAAAATGAAGTTTCAATGAGAAGATTAAGGTTTTACATTCAGATACAAGATTATTGGATGAATTTGAGAAAAATCATTTGAAGAAAAAAGAGCAGCAAATGGACCTGAAGATGAAATATCATCTGAAATAAAAGGGATATGAGAGTTGTCAAGGAACAACATAAAGAAAAGCTGATCACTTGGAGTTATAGGCTAGAAAGATATTTAGCACAAAGTTGTTAATGTCAGGAGAACAGTGACTTCACCAGAGACTCTAGGAGATTATTTGATCTGATTAACATTAAAAGCAGAATAGGAAAAAATAAAGGGCCAATAAATAATGTGGAAGGGTTTCAGTGTTATTGGAAGGAACTGTGGTCTGACGACGTAGAACATAATCAGATAGCAGACTGAATTTAAAATGTGAGACAAAAAATTAAAAAGCACACCATAGAGGAATACACAGAAATATTAAAGAAGAAAAATAGCTGAGGTACTGAGAGGAATGAAAAGTTGGAAAGCACCCAGACCAGCATGGAATCTGGCCGAAATTCATAACAACTCTCCACTATTCATTACTTGAACAACTTAATAAATATTTGAAGAATGGACATCCAAGGTTGATGGTTGCAGGGACAATTCTTCTCATACCAAAAGAAAGAAAGAAAGAAAGAAAGAAAGAAAGAAAGAAAGAAAGAAGGCCACAGTGATCCCATGAATTTTAGACCCTCATGTGTTTACCAACTCTGTGGAAACTTCTATCAACAATTCTGGCAAAAATATCTGGATAGAGCTAACTTGTGATAGAACGGTGCCTCCTGAGCAAAAAGGCAGCACAGTAAACTAGCAAAAGGAAATAAAAGAGATATTTACAAGGTGAAAGCAGGTAACATACACACACAAATGAGGTTCCAAAAGATAATAGAAACTTTTACAGTAAGTAAACTTTATGTGTCCTTTAGGGCTAACCTAAGCTAAACAGCTGGGGACCCCTTGATTAGGCCTAGAAATTGTTGCCCTGCTGATTTCAAGCAGTGCAGGGATACCAATTTCTCCTCAACAGGACATTTTTAATCCCTTCCCCCAACATTGAAGCTGTGATGGGATCCAGGATTGTGCACATATACCCTTCACGGGTGTGGGGGAAGCAATCAACAAAATCTTTTTTTGTCCACAATTGCTTGTCTGATGTCTGTTGGAGAGGAGATTACCACAAGAAGTGTTAACTAGCATTTCACATGTAGTAATGCTTCTCCTCTGACTGTGGGGGATTTACAGTCTTAGCAAACATATTTATAGTTACAGAGCAAATATTTAAACATTACCTTATAACATGGGATGCAGATATTATAAGTAGGATTGGTACATGCAACATCCTACAAGCATACCATAAAGTCTAAACAACAAGGAAATTCTTAAAATTCTAATGTCTATTTTAATAAAACTAACATACAGGTAAGCCACTCTGGTTTCCTGCTATGCATTTTTTAGTGTTCAGTGAGGCCTAGGGGACCTGACATGAGCTGGCACCTGGTCTGCCAGTATCACAAATTGATATTGCCATACCTGCAGACATCAACATGAAAAAGAAACAAGAAAAGAAGATAGCAAAGTATAAAGAACTCTGACATGATTTGGAACAATTATGGAAAACTAGAACAAAGATGATCCCTGTGATCATTGGAGCACTTGGAGTGATTTCTAAGGTTACAAACGAGCATCTCAGGAATACATTATGAGAATGAGACATCACGATCAGTGACCTCCAGAAGACAGCGTTCTTAATCTGTGAGAATTTGAAGGAAAGTCAAAGAAGTACGAGTGCATTTGAGCCCCTAAAATGCAGGAATTCTGCAGAGGATTTAACAAAACTCCTGACTACCCAAAGCTACAGGGACACTTCAGGGCCAGGATTTATTGGTGACTCATGGGAATATATTTTAGACAGTAGTTTTCTCCTTTTTAGCCTTAAAGATTTAATGTTATGAAAGCCATTTGCTGCCTTGAGAAAGAGAGCTCGGAGATTCAAGTAGTAGCTGGGTTGCCAGCCATGGCCCCTGTGGTGCAACTAACTCCGTGTGAGTGAACTGCAGCAGCCAAGCAGAAGACAGTGGGACTCTACAGAGAGACCCATCTCTTGATAAGGGGGGCAGAATTTGGTCCTTGCAGATGGAAAGGATTAAAAAAAGGTTAAAAAGGAATAAAATTATGAATCAACTCACCTGCCTTTTAAATGTGGATCATAAATATGGTGAGATAATTCTGACCTGGTATTTTTCTGTTTTCTTAGTCTGCTTAGGTACCTATTTATTGATTTGTCTATATAATCTGTCTATCTGCTTTTCCGATACAACAACTAAAGTTGTCACATATTTTTTACCTACAGCAGTGGAACCCATCTATTGTTTTCAGTGGGAGTGGAGCAAACAGTCTTTCCTTATGTGACTCCAAGACAAAGAGCTGATTCTTGAGAATTGTTTAAATGCTGTCTTGTTCCCATGGGACAAGATCCCTGAATATCACTCTCTGTAACAAGCTACCAGTAACCCAATGCTGTGTCAGTCCTTCAGCAATTCTCCATAGTGTTTAAGCTTGAGCATTGAGGCTTGGATTATCAAAGGAGCCCAGGTGGTTCAGGCATCCTGTCTCAGTGTCAGTCAGTAAACCAGACAGGTATTTAGGCACAGATTATATGTCAGAGGTGCACAGGCTCGGTGCTCTGGACCAGCTCTGAGTGAGTCTCATGCAGGACCCTCTTCAGTGTGACACAGGGCACATTCTCACTGGGGACTCCTTCTTGGCTTCAACAGCTTCTGGGTCTGATCTCTGAGTGTTCAGCACCCCTGTTCCACGCCATGAGCTCCTCGCAGTGATTCTGCCTGAATGGGACACCTGGGAAAGCCTTACATGCCCCCCACAGAGGGGCCATGCATCCAACTTCCACAGTCATCAGTGACTCTCAGTCAGCATTGTGGAACACAGTGTAGAACAGATCTTGTTAGCACAGAAACCAGCAAGTTACAGCAACTTTCACCTGAGACAGACCCAGAGGCCTGGTTCTCCCCTAAACACCGCATCCAGGAAACTGCCCTGTTTCCAGCAGCCCACCCTCGGTCATGCCCACTTGCCACTCTTCCATCCTTTGTTGTGTTCCCTGGGCAAAACTGTTAATCTGGCCTCCACCTCTCTCTTTCTTCTGCAATACATTGCAGCTGGCTGGCTTCTTGCAAGGGGTGGGCCCCTCTGGCCCTCAGTTGCTAAGTTATGAAATGTCCAGCCATTGTCTGGGCCCACGCAGCTAGGTGACAATCACAACTGTTCTTCTAGGGGTCTCTACAAAGATCAAAC